ATCTAGTGTTGATTGAGGGATAAAGAGAGAAAGAAAATGAAAGGAAGAAATTGTAGGTTTCATTGGGGGCATTTCACCAGATCTTTGAGGGGATGGGTCTCGGTGGATGCATTGTTCTGGTATAACGAAAGATCGTCACTTCATTCAATTTCCACTGTAATTTCCTTTTTTTGTTGTTGTTTCTTATTCCTTGTCCAATTTTTGACTTTTCTATGAATTTGATTCGGTGCTTCGAGCGGCTAGAGAGAGAGAGAGAGAAAAAAAAAGGAGTCTGGGTTCTCCAAGAAGAAACCAGACTGGGCTCTCCTGCAGAACCCAGACCTGGGTTCTTCTCGGAGAACCCATCTGGGTTCTTTGATGGGTTCTCCAAGAACCCAAACCTCGGTTCTCTCGAGAACCCGGGGTTCTTCTCGGAGCACCCATCTGGGTTCTCTGATGGGTTGTCCAGAGAACCCAGACCTAGGTTTTCCGAGAAGAACCCAGGTCTGGGTTCTCTCGAGAACCAGGACGAAAAAAAAAAAAAAAAAAAGGGATAAATTTGTAATTTTACTTTTAAAATTATGTGGTTAAATGGTGTGTGCACCCCCGGGTGTTGAACCTGGGTGTGCATGAATCACAATCCATTTTTATTTTATTAGACAAGAAAAAAATAACTAACCTTATGTTTGTGGGGAAAGGAGGGGGGAAATGGAGGGGAAGGGGAATGGAGGAGAGTGGAGGGGAAAAATTCGCCTAGCCTCTCTTCCTCTCATTTGGATAAATAATTAAATTAAAAAGAATAAAATAAAAGAAATTTTTTTCCTACCCTCCCTTCTATTTTTTTGATAATTAAATATATAATTTTTTCCCTTCATTCTCTTCCATCCAAACATAGTAGAAGCTAACTAAAAGTTGAATGAATAGAGTAAAAACATAAAGATACAGTAAATGCTTATCTTTTCATGCAGAATTAATGCATGTCATTACTGCAATTTAATACATGTACTCAAATCCTATATTAATCTCGATACAAATTGGAAATGATCTCCAACAATATTTTTATTAGAAAAAATGTTAAATTATTTTAGACTCTACACTATTAAATTAAATGAAACGTTACTATAATACATGCCTTTATTTTTTCCGGCCAATAAAATGCATATGTCTCAAATTGTGGTTTATCATGATATATATTACCTCCTTGAAATCATTTAAATTTAAATTTTTATTTTTATTGGATTGGTATTTTTTATCTAGTGGTTCGCTTTTAAGTTTTAATATTTAGATTTAGTTGATCAGGTTCAACTCTCATCAATTATTTAAAAATTTTTTCCTTCCCCGATAATTTTTCACGTTAAAAAAAATAATTTTATCAGCGAAAGGAATAAATTTTATTAAGGGACAAGGGGCATTCTCCAACCCCCTTTTTTTTTTATCGAACTTCCTTACATAATATCTGCTTTATCTGAATCCTTGCAGGTTTCCAAACTATGGAAAGGGCTCAGTCCCTAATTGTGCAGAATGCAATTGACAAAGGGGACGTTAATGCTGTAATGGACCTTTTCAAGAGAAATCCAGGGGCAGAAAATTTGGGATTTTGGACAGGTCGCACTAGTCTTCATTACGCAACTATGGTTGGCAAGTCGAACATTGTCAAGGTATTGCTTGAGAGTATGCCTGCAGTGCAAAAGGATCTATGGGATGATACAGCTCTAAGTTGGGCTGCTGGGTTTGGAAACACCGAGATTTCAAAATACTTAGTCAGTAAGGATTCCACTTTGCTTTCTATGAAAAATACGTATCAAGAAATTCCGGTAGTTACGGCATGTAGACGAGGGCATAAGGAGGTGACAAACTTTCTCTATTCTGAAACCCCATTCGAAATCCTATTATGCGAAAACGGAGAACAAGGATCCCGATTACTTCATTGGTGTTTTAGTTCCAAAAGATTCGGTTAGAGCATGCGAAGTTTAATTAACTGTGCAAAATGAAATTTTATACTGTAATTAAACATATATAATGACAACAATTTTAATATATGACTTTAACATGTGTAGATATCATGTTCGATGTACTTCACCGTGGTCAAAGTTTAATTGATGAATATTGGAAGGATCTTTTGGATGGATTCGCCACAACACCAACGGCATTCATCACTGGAAGTGGGCTAACATTTTGGCAACGATGGATCTATGAGTGTGAGTATCGTTTTCCATCGATCCCCACTCTTGTCCCTTTTATTTCTCTTTTTCATAAATTTGATTGTTTTGTTGGTAACCTCATAAAATATACAATCATAAATGTTTTGTATAACCAATTATGGTACGTGTTAATGCATGCAGCATTTTTTTTTTCTTTTTTCTTTTCTTTTATATTGGATTCATTTGGTATAGTAGTTAGAGACGGTGATTAGTGATTTTACTCAAACCGTTGTAAATAGATATTTAATAAACTTATATATTTTGAAACTGTTACAAACAAAAGATTTAGTAAAATTTTTTTAGTAATTTGAAATTAATAGATAACAAATTAAGGTTCAAATTGCTTAACGATGAAAATTTTTTAATTTTATTGACAAATTTATTTTTTTTTAATTTTATAATTTTTTATCATAATTTTTAATTAGTATTTATTTAATTAGTTTTAATTTTTTTTATCTTTAATAACATTAAGTAATTATTATATTTTCATTTTTTACATTAATTTATCATAAAAAATATATTAACTTAACAAATAAGATTTACCAATTAGAAGAAATAATTAAAAATTTTTATTTAAAAATAATATGTTTTTTCTTTATTAAAAATAAAAATGAGTATGTGATTATACTATTATAATTTATTTATTTATTTATTTTCTTATTATTTTTTTATAAAATTATAATTTTAATAATAAAAAATATATATATAAATATATATGTTTAATTATTTTTAAATATGTTCTTATTAATCATTCATGTCGAATAATAACCACTAATTATTATATAAAAAATAATAATATCAATCGAATCCGCTATTTACTGTTTGTTACTCCCTTTTTATTGTCTATCATTGTTATCTATTAACCGTCACTCATTATCACTATCCACTATCCATTACCCACTAAATTTTAACTCCTATATCAAACGTACCCATAATCCAATTGTTTTTCTTGAGTGATTAATTTAATCTTAATATTAGTTGTTATTGTTAAAAGGTTTGAACGTACACATACCTAGCGATTTCGCCGTTGTTACTATTAATTAACAAGGAAAAAAATTCGAAGAGATACCTTTGCCAGGTATGTTCTACTTCCTCTCCCTTAATATATATTGAAAAGCAAAATCAACCATTTTTTGACCAGAGCACAAGGGTACTTTACTCATATACAATCATTATCTATATTTTAATTTCCTATACCACCTCAGTCCCATTTGATGTCATTGAATATCTATGATGTTGTTTCTTGTTAAACTAATGTTGTTTCAGTCTTAATTTGTAAATAAGGAGTCGGGTTATTCACAATATAATATTACTCTGATCCAAAATTTTTTAAAATTAATTCAAATATGTTGAATTTTCTCCATTTTAATATGTATATATTTTGTTATTAGGTCGACTATGGAGATTGGCATCAATCCTTCTTCCATTCCCAGGTATAACATAAACAAGGTTTTTTTTTTTTTTTTTCCTGATTAACAAAATCAAGTTTTTAATATATCTTTTACTTCTATGCTTAAGCTTTATTTTTGTTCTTAATTTAAGCATAAAGCAAATACATGCTTTAAAATTGAGTCATGGCTTCGCTCGTGCAAGTCTATGTTTAATCTGTCAGCACTTGACAAAATTACACTGGAAGAAATTGGAGGACTTGACTGCACTAAGGAAAGCACTCACCAGTGCAATTGAGAATGGAATTTATGATTTTTTAATTGAAATGGCCAAAACTAATGCAGACTTACTTCTTGCACCGTTACCGATGGATGATGAGACTCTGAGGGGAAATTTTCTCATGGATGCTATTGCATTTCGTCAAGAGAAAATTGCTCGCTTTCTCGTTGGACTCCCCCTTGGCAAGGCATTTATCTATTTACTGGATTCACATAAGAACACTATATTACATAAAGCAGGTATATTGGCTTCTGATTCTCAACTTTCTTGCATTTCTGGTGCTGCTCTACAGATGCAAAGAGAGATACAATGGTTCAAGGTACGCAATGAAAATCAATAGTTTTTATTAATCATAAATTATAGTAATTAGGAATATATACAAGGATGGTCCAACCATATAAAATTCTCTATATAACAAGTATTAAGAGCTGCAAATTTCCAAAAGCACATTAAGAGTTGAGTACTATACATATAGAAAACAATAGTAGCTCCACTAGAAACAAAAACGTAATATGCTAAGGAAATCAACATCGGTCATCTTGTTATTGGAATGAACTAGAAGCCAAAAACACTGCCTCACAAAACATTCCTTCCCATCTTCAGAATCTAAGTTCATTTGAGCCTTTTCCGATCAATTGCAGGATTCTTCTTTACATTTTTGCTTAATTCTTTCTAATAATTAAATTAAATTAGGTTTTACTGTTATTTTACTTATGTTAGGTCATCAATCAAAGCCTTTAAAAAAAAAACCCTTTTTGTCTATGCTGCTTTATTTTATATATATTTATATATATATGTATGTGAATATATAACTTCACATTTAAATTATTAATTTTAAAAATGCAGGAGGTTGAAAGCCTTGTTAGCCAGCATGGAAAAAATGAAAAAAACAAAAATGGTGAAACTCCTTACCAAGTTTTGGCTAGAGAGCACAAGGCCTTGCTTAAGGAAGCAGAGGATTGGATGAAAGGATTAGCAAATTCGTATATAATTGTTGGCGCTCTCATCATCACCATAATGTTCACGGGAGCTTTTACCCTTCCTGGGGGTAACGATGAAAGTAAGGGATTTCCAATATTCAAAAACAAAGAAGCATTTCTAGTATACATAATATCCGATGCAATCTCTCTATTTGCCTCAGCTGCCTCAGTAATAATATTTTTGAGATTTCTCACATCACGTTACAGCTTGGAAGATTTCCACAAATCTATTCCCAAGAAGTTGATGGCTGGGCTTTCTACTTTATTTGTCTCTCTTGCTGCAATGATGATAGCATTTTGCTCAGTTATTTTTCTCATGCTAGAAAA